ATATCAAGAAGGTTTTGCCACTTTTCCCAGTCTTTTTGGAAGGTATGTCTATGTTTTTCATCTTTCCCATTCACAATATATTTCTGTATCTCATAAGTCTCTTTTATACAGTTTATAAGGCCATTTACTGATAGAGCTTTTTCTAGGCATCTTGCTTTATAAACATAATATTTTATAATAAGAATAATTTGGTTATCTACCATGTATCGAATTCTGGTTTGATCACATATACCGAAGATAAATGTTTCCTTATTAAAAGCAAAAGGAATAAACAAAACATCTAATAAAAACTCAAAGTTTGTTAATAAATTCTGAACTTGATTGCACTCCCATAGTGCATGCTCTATTGTTTCAATGTCTGATTTACAAAAATAACAATGAGGATTATCTACTATTCCAGCCCTGTACAGATATAAGTTTGTGGTTAAGATGTGTTGATTAACTCTATACTGAAACCATTGCAGTTTTGTATTTTTGGTTACTTGAAATGGTATTTTGTAGATATTTCTCCATGTATTATCATTATAATCAAAATGATTACTCCATTTATTTCTACCAGTTGACAGTGTATCATTTTTACAAAGCAAACTATTAAAGTCTTTTGTACCTTTCCTATTTCTTAGAAATATTTGTATATTACTAGGTATATAAGGATAGCTTATACATTTTATTTCATGTTGTTGAGAGAGATGTCTTTTAATTGTAGATAGCAGACCTTGGTACTGAAGAAAATTTGTTTCAATTTTAAAAATTTGTCGAACTTCTTGAAGAGTATAAAACAATTTTGAATTATTATCCTTAAGTAGGTCATTAACTATAACTACACCTTTACTGAACCACTTCCTATAAAAAATACTCTCATTATTTATTTTAAACAATTTATTATACCAGATAGGCATTTTGGAAAAGGAGTTATCTCCCTTGCATTGATTATCTCGTACTATTACTAACTTTTTCCATGCGTTAAACACGTCTTTCCAAAAAAGATTTTTACTCGTCATTTCACATTTAACAATGTATTCCGTCCCACAGTTTGCTAAAATATTTAAATCAATATAAGTTTTTAAAATCTCCTGCCATTTACTTGATGTTGTAAATAGTCTCCTTATCCATGTTAATTTTAAGGATTCTATAAAAGACATCACATGCATCATTTTCAATCCACCATCAATATAGTCTCTTATAACAATGTCTCTTTTGGTTTTGTCAACTTTGCTTTTCCATAAGAAGTTAAATAGTTCGGTGTTTAATTTTTTAATAAAACATTCATTTGGGTTTGGTAATGCAATAAATAAGTGATTGAGTTGTGAGATGAGTATTGATTTGATGATAAAAATTCTACCAATTGGTGTAATTATTCTCCTATTCCATGTATTTATAAGTGCCTTTATTTTTACTAACTTTTTATCATAATTCAGCCTAGTAATTTTATGCAAGTCTACATGAAATTCTATCCCCAAAAGATTAAAAGTTTTATTTCCCCACTGTAATTTCCATTCTGGATAAAGAACTTCCTCACTATGCTTTTTACTTCCTATCCATATTACCTGAGATTTTGATTTATTTATTTTCAACCCAGAAATTTTTGCAAAATTATTTAATTCACCAACTGCTTCTTTTAGGGAAATGTTTGTACCATCTAAAATCAACGAGGTATCATCAGCATACTGTGATACTAAAATAGGACAGTCATTTATATTGATACCCCTTACTTTTTTATTGTTTCTAATTCTTATCGCTAAAATCTGTTTTCAAATATTGGCACGCTACATACCTCGTCACAATAACTAATGACTATCTAAGTAACATGTACCTGGTCACGAATAGTAACAGACGCACTACGGACAACTGTGATACCTGATCACAAAAAAATATAGTTCAGTCACTGAGATACCTTGACACAAAAAAACTTACTATAGACCACTGAAATCCCTTGACACAAACTCTCACTATAGACCACTGAGATACCTGGTTTCAAACTCTCACTATAGACCACTGAGATACCTTGACACAAACTCTCACTATAGACCACTGAGATACCTTGACATAAACTCTCACTATAGACCACTGAGATACCTTGACACAAACTCTAACTATAGACCACTGACAGACCTGGTTTCAACCTCTCACTATAGACCGCTGAGATACCTTGACTCAAACTCTCACTATATACCACTGAGATACCTTGGCACAAACTCTCACTATAAACCACTGAGATCCCTTGACACAAACTCTAACTATAGACCACTGAGATACCTGTTTACAAACACTTATCATAGACCATTGAAACACCTGGTCACAAACACCTACAATTGACTATTGACGTAACACTTCCTCAGTGATCAAGTCCAGTCAAGATAAAGATTTTTAAAAAATATCACGTTTGTGAGGTGTTTACATAATTGAGAAGGGCTCATTCCCCGAACACCAACTCTGGAGAATTGAAAGGAAGGTGTTTATATAGGAATTCCTTTATAGTGTAGCTATAGCCCGTTTCAAATTGAACTATGTTTTTGGCCATCATAAATTCACGAAATTATATATAGTTTAGTTAAGATTTGTTTGACAATGCACCTGGGAAATATATCTATATAAATATTTCTATAATGAGAAATTTTTCAAGTTGTTAAAATTAAAAATGTATTGGAATTCAGTTCCAATCTCCTGAAAGTTATAAATGTACAAATTAGATTATATTTTCACGTGGTAAGTCACGTGGTAAGTCTATCCACCTTCAACGTTCCAAAACTAGTTAGTACAGTGCTATTTCTATTTGATAATAAATGTATGTATGGTCCAAGTTGGGTTCAACTTCAAACATTCAGTAATTAATAGATTTCGGAATAGTCATTAATTAATTTCTCCAGCACTGTAAAAACTGATCTTACAATGTTCTATGTAAACTCTGTTTAAGCTCCTAATATGTAGATTCTGTAGGTTTTGCCATATGTACGATAATTCACAATCAACAAGAATACCTTGACATATTCCGTCTTTGCGTATTGCAGAGTTATCTTCTCTTGAGAGCAGATATTGATTGATACGTCAATGGTTTGTGTGAGAAAATAACGTCGTTTTCTCAAAAATTGATGACGTTACTCTCACAAAAAAAATGACGTAACAATCAATACCTGCTCTCAAGAGGAGATAACTCTGCAATACGCAAAGACGGAATATTGATGCACTCAGTACATAACAGAGTTTCTGTGATATTTGTGTATCATCTCAAGATACCAATTTAGCCAATCCCCATCCTCGGTACTCCAGGGGTTACGTCATCCTCGATATCCAGGGGTTACGTCATCCTCGGTACTCCAGGGGTTACGCTCACATACGCTCTCTGCACCCCTGGAATATGTCATTGCAAAATTAAAGTCTCGGTGTGCGCCACCTTGTGGATGAGTCAAGAAGACTAGTTTGATCCCTTGGGGTATATCAAACGAATTTCATGGTCACGTAACGGTAAAATTACTGACTGTCTTTGAAGTCGGGCTTCGCTCCTCTGTAAACTTGAAAGGACAGGGTATCAGCCTAGCAATTGGTCATTTTTATTTTACCTGAGACCAATCAAATAGCTAGCCGCATGCT